ATGTCAAGGATGAGTGTCAGGAGGACGGAGCCAGGCTCTTCTTAGTGATGTCCAGTGACAGGGCAAGGGGCAATGGATACCAGCTGGAACACTGGAGTTTCCACAAAAATATTAGAAAAAACTTTTTCACTGTGAGGGTGACAGAGCCCTGGCACAGGCTACCCAGGGAGGTTGTGGAGTCTCCTTCTCTGGAGACATTCAAAACCCTCCTGGATGCATTCCTGTGTGACCTCCTGTAGATGATCCTGCTCTGGCAGGGGGGCTGGACTAGATGATCTTTTGAGGTCCCTCCCAACCCCGACCGTTCTGTGATTCTGTGAACCTATGACCCCCAGCTTGCTAGTTTTCTGTAATTTTACTGCATGGACCCACAGAGTTTTTTCTGTTGAAGGTCTCAGCCATGCTTCAAGAGCGCTCTGCCATGGAGACAAGATGTCACTGGGAGATGCACGACAAATTTGGCTTTTATCTGGGCACCGTTGTCCGCTCTGACGACAGGTTTTTGTTTCTTCCATCCGGGAGAAATACCAGCTGTCATTAGCAGCAGCCTTGCTAGGGAAACATGGTAGCGAGGATAGATGAAGTGTTTCTAGATGAGCTCGCAAGGCTTCCCACTGAACCTTCATGCTTTTTCTTGCCCAATTTTTTCAGTAAATGGCCATCCCATGTAAATCAGGTTGCATATTTCATGTCCCTAGTGCGTGTAGGCAGGACAGCTGGCCGATAACACAGCTGCAATGCTGCCTTTGCAAGTATGAGCAGCGTCCCTCTGAGCTGTGCTGCTGTCTTTTGTTGCAGGTACGAGAAAATGATCAGTGGGATGTACCTCGGGGAAATAGTCCGCAATATTTTGATCGACTTCACCAAACGGGGGTTCCTGTTCAGGGGCCAGATTTCAGAGACGCTGAAGACCAGACATATCTTTGAAACTAAGTTCCTCTCTCAGATTGAGAGGTAAGAACACGGCACGGGAAGCTGTTTCAAGGGAAGTAGTGGGGTAATGCTCACCTAGTGACACTGCTGGAGGGGAGAGATAGCTGGAGAGCATTGCTTGGTCCTCCAGAGTTGATTTTGGTTTCAGGAAGAGCCTGCACATGTACAGAAGGACTCTTTACACCATCATCTGAATTTCTAGCAATGCTCACTGCTAAATCATGGAAAGGGCTGTCAAGGATTCCCTTACTATATCGTTTTATCTCCCTGCAAAGTCAAACCATTTTCCTGTGCCCTTTGTGTCTAGCTATAGTTGTGGAACTGAATGAATACTAGCTGAATGAACACTCCTTTACTGGATAGTTTTGTGTCTTTATTGCTTGGACTCTGGAATTTCAAAGCCCGTTGAGTCTTTATGGGGGAAAAAATCCAAGCTAATCATTAAAAATGTTTTCTGGAAATGCCATTTTGTAAGAAAAGAGAAGGGGAGGCAACGCAGAGCTGGACATGGAGCTTCCCTTGCTGCCCAGTGAGGGTGCACGGGTGCCACCAACAGCGCAGCAGGGGTGTGTGGCAGTGGCTTGCCTGATTTGACGCCGTGCTCTTCCGCTTCTGCAGCGACAGGTTAGCCTTGCTGCAAGTGCGAGCCATCCTCCAGCAGCTGGGGCTGAACAGCACCTGTGACGACAGCATCATCGTCAAGACGGTGTGCGGAGCGGTGTCGAGGCGAGCGGCTCAGCTGTGCGGCGCTGGAATGGCCGCGGTTGTAGATAAAATTAGGGAGAACAGAGGGTTAGAGCACCTGGAGATAACGGTTGGTGTGGATGGGACTCTGTACAAACTACATCCGCAGTGAGTATTCACCCTGTCAGTGTTTGTTTGCCTGCAATCCCTAGCGTGTCGCTTTTATATCCTTTCTCTTGGCTCAGCAAACTGGTCTTTCTTACTTGCTAGTAAGGGAAGTTCTAATCGGGGCTGGTCAGGGCTTTCTAACAGGGCAAGGAGAGGATCAACGAGGACTTGCAAATGATTCTTGGGACAAACCAAAGGAGATGCAGCTTGCCGCATGAGCTGGAAGCTGCACAACAAGGGAGGGATCCTTTTTCTATGAATGACAGAGCAGTGCTTCCTCCTGTGGAGGATGGTTCTGTTCAGTTTGCAGAAGGGATGGGCTGCTGTGAAGCGACAGCAGGCAAGGCCAAGTCTGAAAGAGCTGGCATCAGGAGGAGAGGAGGACTAGGGCCCATCTCTGGTGTGCACAGAGGGAGGTGGGTGAGGAGGAGACAACATGGTCTCTTCTCTCCCCTTTGCTGTGCTACTAGCACTCCAGGTTAAGCCCGTGCAGACAGAGAGGCAGGGATTTTGGATACAAATGCTTTTCTTCCCTTAACTCCCAGTCTCCAAACCCACCTCAGTTTCCAGCATTTTATTCTTTTTCCCTGGTGAAAGGGGGAGCACCGTGGAGGCCCATGGTAGTGCTATGCTCTGCTGGTGCCGTGGGACCTCCCTCACCCGCTGCCGTTGTTTCCTTTCGCAGCTTTTCGAGGGTCATGCACCAAACAGTCAAAGACCTGGCGCCCAACTGCGACGTGACCTTCCTGCTGTCGGAGGACGGCAGTGGGAAAGGGGCAGCGCTCATCACAGCGGTGGGATGCAGGCTTCGCGACGCTGAGCAGAACTGAACTCCACAATCCTGGCCCCGATTCTGTCTTGTGAGCACTTTCTCATAAAGCAGCGACTGCGTAGTCAGAACTGGTAAAAACCCAGAACTCACTGCTTTATCGGGGAAAAAAAAAAATACAACTAATGACATAAAAAATAGGATACAAGATAGAATGTGTGCTGTTAATAATATCTCCTGTTTCTGGACCCCAATCTGCATGTTTCTTATTCACCTTGTTGGTACCTTCCCCATCTGTAGGTCATGGAAAAATCAGTCTATAATTTCTGCAGCTGTCAGGAATCGATTGTTGTCCGAGACGAAGTTGCCCCCAAGTGATGTGCGTTGAGAGCTACCATTGCATCGTACCAAATGTATTCTTTGCAGCATCCCTGTTAAGCACACCGCCAGCACGCTGACCACCAGATCTGGGTGTTGATGCTTTTAGCAAAGGGGAAGCAACAGTTCCCTCCCACGTATCTACCTGCTGTTGTTTCGTCTAAAGCGATTGTGAAAAAATTGCGGTGTGTCAGCACTGTGCACGCACGTAACTCTATAGTGGGACTTGACAACACGACTTACTTGCTTCCTTGATGCCTGTTTTGTCACGGTAAAAGTAAACGCCTTCGTCCCACAGATCTGGTTCCACTGGTATTTCCCATTTGCTTCTGTGAATAGTGTCGTGTTACTGGGCGAAATCTGTCATGTTTCGGCAAGAAACCCCTAAAGAGTAAAACAAAAGCGGTTGGTGATTGGGGTAATCCAAATCTCCAGACCCGGGAAATTGACCAATTTATGGTCCTTAGGCGGGCAGTGTTGTATTCTTCTGTTCAGGAATTCTTATAAACAAATATTTTCTATCTCTTCTTGTTAGTCTAGGTCGGGGCGCTGCAGCTGCCCTTCTGCCGAATCTGCAGCTGGACGGCGTCACTCGGATGCGTGTGCTTCCGTCTCTCGCCTTAAATGGGTATTCGCTTCCACACAGAGCTTTAATCTTTAATACTGTTAAGCAGCCACTCAAAACACAAACACTCAGCCAGAGCTAGTGATCAGAAGGGAATAGAAGGGCTTGATGTTGATGTCGCCTTTGAGGACCCGGGCATGTAAACTAAACGATCCTCAAAACCAAAATCAGACCCGGCTTATTCCAAGGACTAAGCAGCAAAGATCATACATACACTTGGTGTATCCTGTCCTCTGTTGAGTCGATGCCATTATTACATTTGCGTACCAGCTGTGTTACTTAAATTGAGAAGCAGTTAGGAAGGCAAACAATGAAGAACATTCGCAAGTCACGCCACTTTCTGCAGAGGGAGACCGCACGATGATCCTTAATTCCCGCTCTTCTACCAAAAATGATTTTGAGGTGTCTGCATGGTTTTCCCTGCTGCCTTTTCCTGCAGAAAGTAGATGGAAACTTGCAGGCCACTCCTCTTTGTCCTTGTTCCACTCCCCTAAGATTTGGATTGCCCTACCTATCGATAACATTTCAGTATGCATTATGGTGCACTGTGAGTGAATGTTGTAAAGTAACGTGAGTCACAAACAGTCATTGCAGCTTTAAGTGTGTGTCTACCTGAAAAATTGCACGCCTAACTGGTTTTGCAAAGGTAGAGAGTCTTTTTACTTTGCACACTAGTAGCTCCGATACTAGTGTTACGTGATACTTGTGAAAATATTAAACTTGTTTGATGTGCGTTAACTGGTGTTTAGTGGTTCTTTCTGGAAGAGGTGCTGTTGGCTGGTGGCTTAGTGCTTTGGGAAGAGCTATTGTGTAGGGAGAGCTGCAACCTAATCCCAGTGGTGCCTGCGTTTTGTGTGTGTGTTTTTATTCCCGGGCATTCGGGGTCAAATTCAAACAGGGTGGATTTCACCCGGGTCCCCCAGGCCTCATGTTTCCTAACGTAGTTCAGCAGAGGCACAGATCTGACAGTGCCCGAGTCTTAGGGGGCACGTAGCTTGTCTGGGGGCATCTTCATGCCCTGTCTCACATGGGGGGATCTGCGGCACAGGGAAACCTCAGTCTGCTCCACCAAAACCAACGTGACTGCATTAGGCTTGGCCAGACACACAGTGGTGGATACATTACAATCCCCACGGGCGTGTGACGGTGCGTGTCGAAGTCCGCAAGCTCCCCGCACCCCTTTTGCCTACGGTGAAGATGTGCTTCTCTGATAATCCATCTTACGTTGCAGCTTGAATAGTCTCTGACACCCTTGACGTGCAGCTATGACCCCAGATAGGAGACAGAAGAAGGTGAGGAACTTTTTTGGGCACAGGGGGACATGTTGCATTTTAATTGCTTGGAGGTTTGCAAATCTGATGCCTGCCGTCGGCAGTGCTGTAGGGATGGTGTGAGCCGTGCCTGGGGGCCTGGGTTTGGAGCTCTTCAGCATCTGAGGGCTAGGCTCAGTGCAGGCTAGAGGATGAATGAGAAGTGGAAGTTAAACTTGGTCTCAGGGTGACTGTGAATTTTTGGAGATGCTGGCCTAGGTCGTTTTGTTTATTGGATCCAGCTCATAACAAATAGGGAGTGAGTTTGTGTTTCTAACAGCGCGACTTTTCCTACTGTGGACCATAGGTGACGTATTCGATAAGAAACGGCAGTTCTTTTCCAAAGGGAGACCTGGTGGGGTTTCCATTTCCAGACTACTTACCCCTAGGAAACCGTTCCATGTGAATCACGAGCTATAACTGTCTGAAGAAATGTCTCCAATGTTATCCAAGCAATGACTGAGATGTCTTACTTAAAGCTTTTAGGCCTGGTGAATAAAATCATAGTTCTCTTAATTGTTAAGCTGTAATTACTGCAATATGAACACAAAAATCTTATATTTCCTGGGGAAAAGACCATTTGCATACCACTGTTGTAATGTCATCCGCTCCTTACTCCTCTGGGGGTTCTCTCAGAAGCCTTTTGAATGGGTTTTAAAACAAGCAGACTTTGTTTTGTTTTGTTTTCTTAAGAAAATAGCAGAAGGCAAAATAAAGTGTTTCTGAACTTCTGAACCCCGTTCTGTGCTCTTTGTTTGTTCCTTTGCTGTAAAAATTAGATTCTTCAAATGTTTTCCTTTACTGACTGCAGGGACTCCGTTGCTGCGTAAAGCACTAGTAACTGTGCAGAGGAGGGAATTATTGCTGACCTGGAGGTGTTTTACTGCTGCGTGGTATTTAATCTTGCCTATATTTATATGAAGAATTGCATGTATTTACTGTGGAGCATGGTGTTCTTGCTACCTCACTATATCAGAAGAAATTACGTAGCCTGCCTTGGCATGCCTTTTCTTCCAGTATCTAACGAGGACACAGAGCATCTCTGCTTTCTTAACTGCTGCTATTTGTACTGGAAAAGCTTCTTGGGATCTGCAACATGGGTCCTTCATGGCATGGAGAGGTTTTGTTTGCAACCTGAAGAAATCATCCTCTGCTTTCTGCGCCTGAACCAGAACCGTGAGCTGTCAGAAGATGTCAGTGCCTGTCACGGACTGCCAGCACAGGCTTTTAAAGGTGTGGTGGGACATGAAGGGGAAGATGGGATGCTCAAGGGAGACCTGTTTGATCTAAAAAAGATCTGCCTTGGAGATCTGGGGGGATTTGAAGGGTTTACAGGCCTTACAGTCATGTCGGCCAGGAGAGGTACAGCTTATGCATGTGAATAGCAAACTGTGTGTAGGTGTCCTTCTGGGGAGCGAAAGTCTTTGCAACCTCTAGCCTGATCCCAGAGATGTGTGCCCTCCCGAATCCTTTTGAATCCCTTCAGAGAAAAGACTTGGTGGTGGCCATCTTTAAATGCCTCTTACTGCTCTCCCTCTGCTCTGTGCGTGCCACAGAAACTACCTGCTGGAATGGTTTAGAATAACGGACTTTTTAAGTCCCATTAGTGAGACGAGTTTGTTGGGCCTCTGTGTAACGTAATTGTTCTCCACAGCAGCCAGGGAGGTCAAGAAGATTAAGCAGAGAAGGGAGATGTATCTACGGGTTCCTGTATTGAAACAGGCTTGGGAAAATCATATCCCTTGAGTACTCTTTCAGTTCAAGTCACGAATCTTTTCTCTGAATTTACTTGTAAAACTTAAGCCTGGCAACGCTTTGTAGTTTTGCTTTCACAGAGTGGAATATTTCACACAACTGGATCATGTCGGAGCTTCTTCTGTGCTAAGGTATGGCTCTGTGAGACTATACACAAACCTGTCCTCAAAGGTTGTGGGGGTTTTGAGGTGCTGCTTACCACACCGGTATTCAATGCTACGTTACTTTTATATAAATGTTTATATTTCAGCTTCTCCTGTTTTGCATGCCTGCACATAGTGCCTCAGACTTTGAGGATGATGTATTTCAGCCTTTGTTTTCATATGTAGGAAGAGAAGAACAGTGATGATAAATATGGGGTAAGTCTGGAAAGGGGAGGTGAAGGGACTGTCTGGGAAAAGACAGTGATGGGTCAGGCTGTGGTTAGGACTGAGAGGAGGTTTTAAATTGATTTAAATTGCGCCGGGAGAGGTCCAGGTTAGATATTAGGAAGAATTTCTTTACTGAAAGGGCTGTCAGCCATTGAAACAGGCTGCCCAGGGAGGGAGTTGAGTCACCGTCCCTGGAAGTGTTTAAGAGATGGGTGGATGTTGCACTTGGGGACATAGTTTAGTAGGTTGATAGGGCTGGGACAGAGGCTGGGCTCGATGATCTTCAAGGTCTCTTCCAGCTGAAACTATTCTATGATTCTGTTCTATGAGGTAGAGGAGATTGATTCAGAATGGACTCATGAGCCCTTTCCAAGCCAGTGATCACCCCAAACCTGGCTACTGACTCTTCAGAGAGCCTTTCTCCAAATTAGACACCACAATTAACTATGTGATAGTTGAAGGAATCACTTGGGCATGGTTTAATAGGAAAATGATGTATTTTGGTACAAGGTTGTAGAAAACCCTGCAAAGACGACACCTTAAGGAACAGTTTCTCACTTTTAACTGATGCGCAGGGTGTTGCTGAAATTGCAGGCGTGAAAATTCAAGAATTCAGAAAATTTTCAGGGCAGGCTTTTTTAAATCTGCATGTGTTAATATTCGCCTTTGTCATAAACAAGCTTTGCTCCATGGTCTTGCCCGCCTTGGGGCTACCGAGCCATGGGGCTTAGCTGCCCACACAGCCCCGAGGGACGGTCCAAACTGTGCCACATACGCCCCAGCCCTTCTGCTCCATCCAGATTTCAATGTCTTGGTGAAACAGAAAGCCAGGAGATTATCTGGAAGAGAATAATTGATATTCTGCTGACTAGCACTGCTGCAGGTCTACTCTGCTGCTTTTTTGACCTCATGGGCAAAATATCTCTCTTCTGTATTAAAGTTGTTGTAAGGAAGGGTTGAACTTGCATCCCATAGGAAACAGTTGCTCCAGGAAAAAAGACCCTGCCTCAGGCTTCTGCAGTCTGCTGCCTTGAAATGCTGCATCAGGACAGAGCCAGAACGGGGAGGAGGAAATCAGAGTGTTAGCTGGGTGAGGGTAAATGATGTCTTCTCTTTCTCATTCGACTGAGTTTCTGTGTTGAAACTTGTTCTTGACTTCCTGTGGGTTGTCCGGTAAAGAGATGGGGATGTAAGTTTAAGTTTGTCTTTCTCAGTTGCTTTTATGCACGGACACCACCAGAAGGCTAATTTGAAGCCAGACCGAAACCTGTAAACACAAGAAAAGAAATTAAATGGTGAAATGATCTTTGTGATTGCATAGAGAAAGAACAAATGCATGACTTGGTTCTGCTTCTGAGTGACCACAGAAAGAAGTTTCTAATGAAATCAAAGGAGTGAGGTGAAGAGCTAAATATATAAATGAAGTGCAATAGGAGTTTATGATAAGGTGTCCTTATATTTTCAGTAAGTATGTAAGATCAGTGAAGTGGCAGGATGCTTGATGTGCTAAGTAGACAGTGCTGACCACGCTGATAGACAGCATTTGTGAGAAGCAGAGCATCCGAGGAAAATATGTGTTTGCCCACGGGAAGCTTTTTAAAATGCCACCGATAACTAGATAAGGAAGCTCCTTTCCGAGAGAAACGCATGTTAAATGCAGCGTCCCTAGAGCAAGCCTGTTCTCAGCGCAGAGCAACAGAGACATCTCTTGGCATGCGCGGGGTTGCGCTCCCCCAGCCGCTCGCTCGCCTCCAGTGTGCTTTTTCACATTGAGGTTTTTGTTTTCTCTGCACCTGCTACTCACTTTTGGTTGAGACAGCAGTATATGATGGGATTGTACATCGTAGAACTCATGGCAAGGAGGAAGATGGCGAGGTAAACCTGCTGAATGTACTTCTGCTGGTAGATATCTTCCTTGAAGCTCCCCAGGATGAAGTATATGTGATAGGGCAGCCAGCAGACAGCGAAAATGATCACAACTACCACCATGGTCTTCACAAACTAGGAAAACAAAACCAGTGTGTTATTCCTGGGCCTCTGAGTGATGGAACCAAATGGGAAATGGTGCTTTTTGGGTTTTTTTTTTGTTTTTTTTTTATGTTTCCCTTCTGACCTTTTTTTTGGCATTGACATGGTGTTCGTAGCGGACTCTGTTAAGGTGGTTACCTGGAACCGCAGTGCTCCACAGAGTAATTCCTATAATGCTGTATGCCACAAACATCACCATTAAAGGCAGTAAATAAATCAATATGATCACTGCAATGTGATACCTGAAAAAGAAGAACAAGCATGTTTTCATAGTCAGTATGGGCCCTTTCGGAAATTGGTTTTTAGACATGTACATCTAGCTCCCATTAATTTCAGCCCTAAAGCATAAAGAAGCAGAATTTTTGCCTACAGACATTGTTGCAGGGGCTTCTGTAGACAGCAAAAGCTTCTCTATCTCGAGTTGGGATGATGAGTCCTTGGACTGGACTCGCTGCTCTTTCAAGACATAGTAATATAATTTATCTTTTATCAGAGGGTTACAGTCTGTGGCAACTTGCACTGAACTTTGCTGTCCCACTGGTTTTCCCTCATGCTGGAGCGGGATTATTTTAAGTCAAACCCACCATTTATGGGGAGGGAATGACCTGCTCGCTCACTTACAGCAGCTGTCAAATTGACATAAACAGTGTAAAAAATCCAGGATTAGGCGGGAGGGCTCTGGCTCAGGCTGCTGGCAATGACCACAAAAGGCTGGATGCAAATGAGCTTTTTCTTAGTCGAAATGGGTGCTGGGACACCCGGTGGCATTTGCTTCTCAGAGTGGTTGCAAATACCAGAGCGGGAAATTATTTGCAAAACGTGGTGAGCTTGTCCCTGCCTGTTTTCCACTTTTCCTAATCATCCTCAGGGCAGTACATCTTTGGAAGGTCTTAATATACTGAGTGTGGCACACAGCAAAGCCCTTTTGGAGGTCCTGTCCTAGGAGGAGGAGAGGATGGGAGCCTAAGTTTGAGCACCTAGCAAAAAAAGACATCATTTAGTCATGTATTTTTGCTACGAAATGAACCTGTCTCTGACAAAAAAAATTTCTATGTGGTTAAGACTGTTTTGGTAAACTTGTACAAATTCAGTCCCTTCATATCCAATATTTCTCCATCATTGGCAGTCACAGTAGTGTATTGCTTTTTTAAAACAAAACAAAACAAAACTTGTTTCTATCGTAACTATAGACATTTTTCCTGCAGAAAAAGATTTTCCTCTATTCTGAAGTCTACAAATCTTGAAGGCTGGTTTAACTCAACTACAAAGGGTTTGGAGGACCCACAGTCAACAGAGGAGCCCAGTTCTCCATTTCTTTGGGTTTCCTAGTGTTTCTTTTCCTCAGTATTTGGATAAGCATGTGAATGGTTGCACCTGCCTTTTTCTCTGTGGTCTGTTCCAACAGATCCACCACTCAGGATGATTTCTGGGGAGTGCTGCTATCTAGGAGACCTCTTGCAAAGTTGACGCTGCTCAGGGAGAGTGAGCTGGTGAATGATGTATCCTGCTGCTCTTCAGCTGATGGTCCCAGAGAGAACCTGCCCCATTATTTTGCTGAGTTCTGGACCAGCCATTCCCACCTGCAGAGGTTTTGTCAGCATGCTGGGAACCTCTTGTTGCGGTCCTGCCCGAACCAGGGATGCAGGAGAAACAAACCTCACGCTTTTCATCTGAATTAAATAGCCATCAGTGACAAGGTGAGCTTGATTTTGCACTTCTGTGACTCAGGAGACTGGGGACAACTGACCACCAGTGCTTTGAATATGTTGTAGCTTGGCTAAACTTTCATGAAGCTCCTAGAACTTGGCACTCATTCGTGTGAAAATTAGTTAGTTTGGTAATAACTACCCATAGGAGGCATTTAGCTTTCTGCCAGAGATTAAGACCGAGAAGGAAAAAACATCCCTGGTGCATGGAGCTGGGCAAAAGCGTTCACGGTAAAGAACGGACATGGAGAGTTTAGCATTTCGTTTTGGTTTGAGAAATTGCTTCCATTCTGTTAATTGATTTGTTCCTTTTCCGGAGTCCTTCCATTACTATTTTGCATAAATATTGCTTGATAAATTCCTGAAGCTGCTTGGTGTATCACGTGCTTTGCGTAATGATTAATCACAGCAGATCCCCTAAATGAGGGGTGTGGCTTGTTTCATCTGTCTGAACAATCTTGCTTTAAAGCAGGAGGAAATTGCAGTGAGTTTTGGGAGCGCAGATGTGTGCCCAGATAAGTCAGTCTATAAAACCTTAGGATGTTTGAAACACACTCCTTTTTTTTTTTTTTCCCATCCCCTCCACAAAGAGCAGCATAATTTTTAGCTGATTAGCTTGTGACTGTAAGAATTAGCTAATTCTCAGCATTAAAGATACCCAGCTCCTTCCTTCTTGATGCAGGGAGAAAAACCAAAATACTTGGAACTTGGTTAGAGGCTTTCAGCACTAGTTCCTCTTAAATCCACTGAGCTCTGTATATCTAAGGTTTCTAGATCTTATAACCAGTTTTCAAAACAGAGGAGGATGGTGCATCACCCTTCTGTGCCCTGAACCATGATTTTTAAATTTTTTAGATTTTTTTTAATCTTTTTTTTTTTTTATTACCTGGCAGCTTTTTCCACTTAAACTCAGTTTAGACAGGCTGCCCCAGACCCATTTTCCCCTGCTGCTATTGTTCCCCCCCTTCCCTCTCTCTCCAGTGCTGCCTGCAGCCAACGGTTTGGAGATGAAGTGAATTTCCCAGCTAGCTTTTAGCACGTATTGGGAGTTTCGTCGTTTCTCTTACGTGAGCTGGTGCTTGGATCCGACGTCATCGGGCCAGACGACGATGCATTTTGTCGTTCCCTTGTCTGTCATGATCTCGGCGTAGAAGCACTGCGGGAAGGCAAGCCCAAATGCCACCAGCCAGATGATCGCTATGATGACTCTGGTGCTTCCAGCAGAGAGCCTGGGCTTGAAGGGATGAATTATTGCCACGTACCTGCAAGAAAAATAGGTAATGCTTTTACAGTTGTGTTGGTAAACTATATAACAAACACAGCAAGTGTAAAAACTCACCAGGACGGTATAGTGGGCTTTGTTTATAGAGACATTTTGATAGGTTCCAGGTTATCTATAATTAGGAGGAGTTCAATCCTTTTTTTGAATAGAATGACTGCAAATCTTAGAGCAGAATATATTAAACCCATGTGGATGGAAGCAGTCATCTATGTCTTCTGCATATGTTCTTCACAAGTATTCCCCTCACTTCAATTTTGGGGTTTTTTTCTTGTCCCTCCTCTTTTTTAAAAGTAATTTTTTGACTGCTTTATGCATTTGGTCTGAAATTCTGTGCTGTGAAGTTTGTGTTAGTTTGGAGTTATGCACTGTTTAATACTGTGCCTTTTTCTCCTTGGTCTACCAAAAAAAACCCCTCAAACACTGTTTCCCCCTAATTCCATCAATCTCTTCCAACACCCTGTATTATCACGACAGCGGTCTGGAGTCTTGAGTATCTGATTTTTAGCTATGGAAAACTGTTGTGCCATCCACCTCTGCCTGTGAGTGCTCGAGCACTTGTGCTTACAGTGGAAGGGAAAGGCTGACCCTTTTGTCCCACACCTGCTCGGAGCCCTCACAGCACATCTGACTATTGGATTACTCGCAAGCCCAGGGCACGCTCTGGTTTTAAGTTCCCTGCGTTGAAACGCATGGTATCATCATGAGTAACATAATCAATTATGCATTTCTGGTCACGCTTTCCATACTCTTCGTCACGGTTGTTACAAAAGCAAAATAAGAGCGTAAAATGACAATCACCTCCTGGTTTTCGGAGCAAAAAATTTGACCCTCTTTCTGTGCTGTCTCTTGGATAATCCTGTGCTCCCCTGCTCTTGGCGATGTCCCGGGATGCTGGGACCATACTTCTGGCACCCGTTCTCTGGTCCTCGCCCCACGCAGACAAAACAAAGCTGATTTTTTTTTTGGATGTTCCTGTACATTTTCCGAAAAGGTCCTTGGGAGACTTTGCTAACTGGAGTGTGAAACTTGAGCTGATGTTCTACGTTTCTCCCTGGAGCGCTGCGGAAACAGCTGCTCCGGTGCACAGAGCAGCTCGAGACGGTGAAACAGATCTTAAAACGCGATGTCGAGCCCTTTTCCACAGCAGACAAAGATGACTTACAGAGCTGTCACTTCTCAAGAAACCCCTTCAAAAGATACTGTTTTATTGAAGTTAAACAGTGGAGCCCACATAGATGCAAGTTCTCATAACAATAAATGGAAGCCATGAGTTTCCAGGAGACAGTGTCAGAGTCTATTTTAAGGCTAAGCAAAAAATAGCTAAATATGGTTTGCAGTGAGGTGCCAAGTTTTCGCTCTGAACTGTGCCACGTGACTAAAAAGGTTTTGGCTGTATAGGTACTTTCCCCAAAAGTCACCAGGGAACGACAGTAGGGAGACATAAGGAAATGGATTTATTTAAAAAAATAATAGTAGTAATAATTCTTTGGCAGACCACATGCATAAAATAGCAGTTACCAACAACCCTTGATTTAAGGCCAGGAACAGCAGAAGGGTATCGGAGTCTAAAACTGGGCTGCCGTTGCTTCTAAATAGGGATTTGCTTTCATCTGGACAACTGCGGGCTCACAAACACGTCACTCAGCGCCATGCTTCTCCCTGTCAGCAATCCTTCCAGCGACCATGGCCGTACCCTGGCTCTGGTGGTGCAGGTTTTGGCAAGAATGGGAAGGCAAAAAAAAGCGCCCCTCTGGTTAAGTCCTTGAGCACACAAACATTGCAGTCTGCGAGACAAGCAAAGCCATCCTTTCCTCCCGCTTGTTTCTCTATCTGGTTTGACTCGTCTGTCGCTTGATTGCCTGAGCAAACCAGGTCACAAAAGTGACCCTGATGACTCACGGAGCGATGCTCTTTGGGTGGCTCCCGAGAGAGCTGGGAGTGCCCCTCCGTTGCCCGATAAGGAATGGGAGGAAACCCAAAAGAAAATGGCAAAGCCGACAGGAGGGCTCAATAAAGGAGGAAAAGGGCAAAGCCCTTCGCCGTGCGGTTGTGGCAGGGATGCAGGATGGAGAAGGTGCAGATGTTCCCAGCGCCAGGCAGGGAGTGGAGGAAGCAGGATGGAGGGAAGAAGGGCAGAGAGTCTAGAAGGGAGCTTAACCTCCTCTACTTCTTTTACACGCTGTTGCTGTTAAGAGAGGAAATTCCCATGGCCTTTTGGCTGCTTTCTAGTAAAAAGAAAACCAGTGTCACGCTATTTAACAATGACCTGTAAACACATTTGGGCTCTGCAAATTTAAGCTCAAATAAAAGAGACTTGGCAGATGGAAAGAGAGTATTATGAAAATACCAGATTACCTCAGAAGACAAACAGAATCACAGTAATTACTTTCCTCCCTCTTGGAGTAAGTCGTTTTTGTGAACCACTGGAGCAGACTCTGCCATTTCTGATCTAATTCCCATTATTTCTGGTGGTCTCGCAAGTGGGATTGTGGGTGCTGATGCTTTCAGCACCTTGCAGCATATCCGTATCGCTCCAGCTCTCTCCAAGTGAGGGGTCCTTCTCGTGATTTAAAACAAAATAGCAGAGTTTGCAGGATGCCCAGGAAAAAATTTGTGATTGGTAATGCGGGAACAGTAAAATATCAGCCATTTCCACTTGTTACACATTCGAGTGTGATTCACACCAGGGATAAGAGAGAAGAGCCTCTCGTGCCATAACTAGCATCTAACCCCACAGTCTTTTGCCTGGCACTCCTCACACTTTGTTCGTAAGGACATGGTAGGTGGGAGCCAATCGCACAAAGTATTGCAATAATTTTTGTGTAACTTACAGTGAATTTTTTGGGCCTTAATCTTCTCCATTCGCCTCTTACCTCTCCGCAGCCACGGCTGTCATGGAGTAAATGCTCACAAACATCACAGTGATGGGGAACCAGTTCTGAAACCTGCAGAATTCCTCACCGAAATACCAGACGTTGTGGCTGGCGTAGATAAAATTGAAGATGGTGTTGAAAGCAGACATCAGCAAATCCGAAAGGGCCAGATTAACGATAAAGTAATTGGTAGCAGTCCTCATTCTCCTGTGCGCAAGAATAATCCAGATGATGGTGACGTTGCCCACGATGGATGTGATAACGATGAAGGAATAGGTGATAGCCCACAAAGCAATTTGCCACGCTGACTGAGTAAACTGGGTCACTGCCGTCCAATTGCTGCTGTCCTCGAGGGAGTAAGCCTGTGAATTATTGCTAGCATTTAAAATGGAAAATGAGCTCATGTTCTTTTTTTCTCAGCTAAGCATAAAATAAAATCTTCTGGCATCTGCTCATTTCCCTGCAGTAGATGCTGGTGTTATGAATCCCCATGCACATGACTAAGGGCTGTTAGAAAGACATTCGGATGAGATGTCTCATGTCCTCTCATCCTGTTTTCCGAGTGAGGCAGTGCAGTTCCAAGAGTTGACGGGCGATACTGAAGGTCTCCTCCTTGCCTGGCATTTTAACCTATGCTTGAAGAGCAAAACCAGGAAAACAACTCTCCCCCAGGAGTTTCTTTTTTCCTCTAAAAAGAGAAAGAAAATAAAGAAAAAATGAGGACAAAGGTGTTTTCCAGGTCAGTACAGGTGATATCTTCCTTCAGATTGTTTGTAGGGCCAAGAAAATACAATTGGAAGTATCAAGCCAGAAAGCACTTCAGTCCAAGTGGAAATCCTTTTTTTTTCCGGGGCAGTGGCTTTCCAAGGCATCAGGTATCTGAATCCTCTGCAGCGGGACTGAGGACATTTGTTTTGATTTGCCTGTGTAACCGTTAAGCGCAAGGCGGGAGCTCTACTGGGATAAATTCTGCACAGGTTTTAAGGGGGCTTTGCAAGGAGGGTGGAGTCTCTCGCAGGCAAAACTAAACAACCAGTTTGACATCAAATGAAATGTGGCGAAGTGGTACTTGAAACTTTTTATTCCCCTCTTCTCCGTTCGTTTTGAAATAACCTCTGAAATGGGCACGCCGCTGTCTTGGGGTTTTTACAGGCTTAAATGCAAGGGTGTAGCTCCTTTGCCAGGTTTACCAGTCCTGCAGTCCCTTCATCTCCAGGACCTTCCCTGGCTTCTTGTGAGCTCTTGTAGCAAGAAACAAAATATATTCACTGCAATTTTAGCTCTCTGCAACTGTTGGGAGGCTTATCTGCCGTTTTAAAACAGATTTTACCAACTTTCCTATATAATAAGACTCAAAAAGACATAGTTAGTAGATTTTACATGATTCATTTAAATTCCAGCAACATGTCCTGCTGCTTCTTGAAGGCTCACTGGCAAGTAATGCCAGGAGAGAGGCATTTGTGAAGGCCAGATCTGAGCTTGGACTTGTAATAAGGCTTCAGTGGGATGTTAGCAGCCAGGATCTCATCCGGAGCTCCAGAAATCCTGCTTGGGCTGCTCTCTATCATGGACACATCCAGAGGAGCCTCAGCTCCTAGCCCCGCTGCGCTGGAATGCTGAGGGGCTGAACAAGAGGCACCCCCGCTCTGGACTGCTGCAACCCCTTTTCCAGTGTGTTTTACAGAAAATTATTGACCTTGTGCATGTGAAGAGGAGTACCTGGTGCTGGTAGGAAAGAGGAACCCCTGACTCCCGTCTCTGTTCAGAGCACAGCGCTCTTGCTCGCCCTCGGCTTTGCAGTGAAGGACGTAAACGTAAGCAACACGTCGAGGCTGAGATTTCGAAGAGTACTTGGCGCTGGCTTGTGCCTGCTCTGCTGGAAGCTGAAAGTATTTCAGGTATTAAAACCTGTTTTCAGGGTTCAGAAAGTAACATAAAGGGGAAAAACCTCCCCTCATGCGTGCTGGCACTGGGAGAGCAGTGGTTTTCCAGCTGCAGCTGTGACAGGCTCCCTGGTAACAGGGTGGTATTTATCGGTTCAGGATCCCTTCCACCTTTCTTTGCTGCTTTAATTTCTGGAGGCAGCCTTCAGTTAACCCATCAACTAACTACTGTAACTCTTTAAAGCACCCAGAAACTGTGAAAATATGCTTGTATTTATCTTGTCACGTGCCCTGCAAAGCTCTTGAAAGTCTTCCACTGACACCTCATTAAACAGCTTATGGACCTTCCACTTTCTGTATACAGTCCAGGAGGGCTTTTCATGATTTGCAATATGAATCCAACAGTTAATACTGTGCTTCAGATTTTTTTTTTTTAATTTCTTTTTCCTTCAGCTTGCTCAAATATCTTCAAATTCCAGGGAGGACACGGGCAAAAACCTCTGTATGTTTAGCTGAGAGTGTAGCTAAAGTGCCTTTTCAGTCTTTGTTACTGAAAGCAGAATGTAAGCAGGAGCTTAGAAAAAGGACTGTTGTTTTTGATGTGTCAATGGTCAAACCATACCTTCTCTCGATTGACTTTGAAGATGGTTGAGGTGCCCACGTTTCCACCTGCCCAGTCCCTGATGTGTTACTTGGGTGGTAATCGGAGAGCAGCCACATTTCATCATGTAAGTCAGCAGGGACTTGCTTTCATTTACACACCCACGCCTTTTATTCATTTGCTGGTTGTGCTTTGACGAGGTTATCGTCCTGGAGCCCAGCCAGCGACGTAGCATGTGCTATCGGCCTGTTTGACTTTTTCACAAAGGCAGGCTCCAAATTCCTGGGGAAAGTCATGCTTGCCTGGGACTACAGGCAAAACATGCCTCTTCAAAGATTTTTCAAGTTTTTACCAGGGAAAGGGACTATCTTGAGAGCAGGAGGTTTGGGGTTTGGCTGCTTTCACTGTTGTTTTTATTGTGGGCAGGATTGTTCAAGGCCAAACGTTGCCGTGCTGAGTCACCGATCCCTGAGCAAAGGGTGCGAGATGGAAACAGAAGATGTGTAAGGTCAGGAGGGGTTGAATAAGCTGCATTTTGTGTCTTGATAAAATAATTCAAGGCAATACAGACAGCAGAGGATTTAATTGTATTGCCTGTTGGACTCTGCTTTGAAAGAAGGACTCTTGTCCAGGGAAGAGCTCTGAGAGTACGCAGTAAGGACCATGAGCATCCACTTTGGGTGGAGCAACACCCAGCCAGCCCACAGCTCTATCAGCCAGTCTTGGGCTGGAAGAGAGCAGCAAAAACACTGATCGTAAATCTGAAAAGCTTAGGAACTTTCTGGCACGCCTTGGTGCAGGGCTAGCTGTGAGTTTGCTTTCCTTTTCTACAAGTTTCCTAAAGCCCTGGGTTAAACTCTTTGCAGACCACAGCCAAACTCTTGGTTGGAAAACTGCAGTTCTGTGCTGTGTCGGGCTCAGGTGGAGGGCATGCAACCCAGAAGGACCCTCGGCACCACAAGCAATGCATAACATCTTACTTTAAACCACTGTTTGCTGTTAAACTATACCAATTATGCCCAGAAATCTTGACTTTTAGATATCTCAAGATATGTCTAGGTAAAGTCTGGGATTAGTTATTTTCACACAGTTTCATTAACAAGAACCCATTTTGACATATTGGCTCAGTTCAGGAAAATGGGCATTCATTTAATCAGCTTCCCCATCCAGCCAGTCATGCCCTGAAATTTTATTTGCAGAAATCAGAGCACAAACGACAGGATGAGGTATTAGCAAAGTCAAACCAAAACTGTAAATTTGGGTAAATACAAAACCAAGGAGAAAACATGATGGGCACACGTTTGGATGCAAATGATGAGACATGAAGAATGTGCGGTAGACTCTAATTCCCAGTGCTTACGTGATGCGTGATGCGATTTCCAGCCTGCACACCATTGGTAAGTGTCAGGAATATTTGTAAGTTTGTCTCAGAACTGGAATTGTTGATATTTTAGAAGATGAGTGCTCTAGGGCATTGTATTATGTATTATTGTCAGAAGTGGAAGAGGTGATGAGCTGGCAGGGACCAGGACTGGATTATGTGTTTCCCAGAAGCAAAGTGGAAAACGCAGTGGCACCTCCTATAATAGAATTATCCAGGAATATTTTTTAGGTCTTATTAGAGTTGTTATTTGATAACAACTATTGGTTTATTGTATGTATCTAACAAAATCATGGGTGACTTACGCAGTTTTACATACACAACGCAGAGGTTTTTCACTGTGTCTTTGCTGGGTAACTTAAGAAATAATGTTGCTGCACTTCATCTTCCTTGATACCAGATGCTGATTTTCAATGCTGTCTCTCTCTGTTCTGGGCCAGAATGCAACAACCAACTCTGTGACAATTGTCTGCCCTTTTGAATGAGACTTTTTTTCCCCCTCCACCCCGAGGAAAATAGTCCTTTCGGGGGAAGGAGTGCAGCGCTACTGGCTTGAAAGGGCTTATTTAATTTTGTCAGCATGAATGGCATTTGCAGTCCATGATTGTTTGTGAGACCCACCACTGTCAGGGCAGCAGAACGTGGATAAACGCCTGCATAGGCAGAAAGTGCAGCCGGGGTTTTCATGGTGTTATGAACGCTGTGCCTCTCCCGTGTGGTGCTTGAGGGGTGTTATTTGCAGGATGGGACTTTCTTTCCATGTGCAATTGCCTGGGAGTTATAATGAAAGGTAAAAGCTCTGTGTCCTGGTCTGAGCTAAACAGACTCAATTCTGTTCAGTGATTCTTACTTTCCAGCTCGGCCTCTTCTGAGAGGCGGCACTTACTGAAGCCAGCAGCGTGCTGGTGCGGCCGGTGCCGGCTGCTGGCAGTGACACCGCCCCGTGTTTGCAGGGACTGCCAGGGCTGGGGATGCAAAAGGCTCTGGCTGACACTTGCTCCTGTAGTGACCGAGGTCACAGCTGGATCTTGTGTGCCACGCTGGGGGTGTCGGGAAGTAAAAGGGAGGTAACGGTTGAGGAACAGACCGGACAGGTGACCAACAAGGTATTGCACTCCACGTACGCCATATTCGGGATAAAGTGAGGGATCACAGGGGTTAAGGTCTCTTCTTCAGTGGGCGGTGTCCAAGGAGGGCTCTGTCAGACCTTTTGCCTTTGATTGTGATTCTGTGTTCCCAAAATCCAGCTTCTGTGCCCCTGCGGACTGCTCTCGGGGGACAGTCGCGTTCCCTACCGACTTTGTACAGAGTTCATTATTTTAGTTATTCCCTTATCAGTCCTATTATTGTCCCATTAAAGCTGTTTAGTTTTCTTTCCAGTCTGTAACTCGTTCCCTTGCCGTTTTGGGGGGGCAGAGGGGTG